AATCACAAATTGTGGCTAATTGAATTTTTGCAAAAAAAGCTAGTTTTTTGAGGTAATTTTTTGCTTATAAACAATTAAAACACAGTAGCAACAATTTTAATTTAAATAATAATTTCGCATAAATGCCATTCAATTAGATATACAATTCTGAAAATTAAAAAAAAATTGTCTAAGCACTAAAGAGATGGCAGAAAATTTTATTATTTTAAAAAATCCTGAGCATTTGTTTATTAGTATTTTACTTCGTTCTTCAATAATTTATTTGGTTATTAATTGTATTATTCCTTAAAAAATTTGCAAACATTTAAATAAAGGATTTGATAATGAAAAATCGAGTGAAAGCAGAGTTTACTATTTAACTCGCTCGCGATGGTCGAGTGGGAAAATTTGTAGAGATGCGACAGCTACGCGCGACAGAATTCGCTTAAGTTGTTCAATTTTTTCAAATTGATATAACTTTGGTACAAATAATTAACGAATTACGATCATTCATTTTTTAAACTGGGATAACTTTATCTCAGCATTTTAAGTCTTATATTATTTTTTTTAAATCATAAAGAATATAAGAAAATTAATAGTTATTTCTTTTAACTTTTGTTTTTGCAAAAAATTGTTATCAACATAATAAATTATTCTTCTTACTTTATTAATGGCAAAAGCTATTTTCTATTTTCTCTTATTTTCTTCTTTTTTTTGGGCCGTTCAAAAAATACGTAACGCTTTAGGGGGGGAGGGGGGGTCAAGCTATTTGTTACGGTCAGCAGAAAAAATAGCGCTAATGTATACAACATTGCGTTACATGGGAGGAGGGGGGGTCCAAATTTCCGAAAAATAGCGTTACGTATTTTTTGAACGGCCCCTTTCTAAAAAAAGTTACAATCTCAATTTTGCAACTTCACAGTAAATTGTGAGGTATTAAAAAGCGTTGCAGATTAAATTAACACCAAAAAGGATTATAATAACCCATTTTAGTGTTTAGTATTAACTTAGTTACTAACTTACTAACTAACTAACTAACATACTAACTTACAAACTAACGAGCTAACTAAATTACTGACCAACTTACTAACTAATTTACTAACTAACTAGCTAACTTACTTACAAATTAATTTACTAACTGACTTTCTAACTAACTTACAAACTTAATTACTAATTAACTTACTTATCTTAGTTACTAACTAAATTACTAACTAACTAACTTGGTTACTTACTACCTTACTAAGTTAGTTAGTAACTAAGTTAGTAATTAAATAAGTTAGTCAGTTAGTAAGTTAGTTAATAAGTTAGTAAGTTAATTAAGTTATTAGTAATTAATTTTGTAAGTTCGTAAGTTAGTTAGTGAATTAGTTAGTTAGTAACTAAGTTAAGTAAGTAAGTTAATTAGTCATTAAGTTAGTAAGTTAGTTAGTAAATTATAGTTAGTGAATTAGTTAGTAAGTTAATTAGTAAGTTAGTATAAGTTAGTTAAGTCAGTAAGTTAGTTAGTAAATTATAGTTAGTGAATTAGTTAGTAAGTTAATTAGTAAGTTAGTATAAGTTAGTTAAGTCAGTAAGTTAGTAAGCTACTTAGTTAATAAGTTAGAAAGTTAGTTAGTAAGATAGTAAGTTTGTTAAAAAGTTGGTAAGCTACTTAGTTAGAAAGTTTGAAAGTTAGTTAGCTCGTTAGTTAGAAAGTTGGTTATTGACTAACTATTTTTCTTAGTGAAGCTAAATTCGTCGTATTTTAATTTTACTTTACTATTAGTACTGGGCTATTCTAGACTCAAATAGTTGCACAATCAGGAAAAAGTTTGAACTGTCTAACTCTATTAGATGAAGAGTTGCAAATAAACGATATTTATTTGTTTAAACAAATTAAAAAACACATGCAACAATTGTCAGTAATTAAACGAAATTTTTGTAGAAAATATTGTAAAAAAATCATATTTTCCATAATTAGTTCAAAAATCTTTCCTCAACAATCTATATATATTTAAGATTTATTTATTTGGTTTCTAATCACTTTCAATTATTGAAATGTAAAGCGGCCTTTTTTGCATATTTTAATTAAAGCAAATAATTATTGTCCTTGGACTTCGTCTTCAGCGATTAAGTAGACAAAGTCTTCATAAGTTTCACATCCCGTTCTGCATGACAGTTTATAACTTTCAGTTGTCGTACGATATTATCATATGATAAATATAAAATTCCAGGTTTTTTCCAGGTTTACAGAATAAAGATTTTTATTCCGTAGAGATCTTTATGTGGTGATCCCGGGTGAAAATGATTCGTATGAATTTTGATCGGAATTCATGTTAAACAGTCTTTGTCCGAATTCCAGTTGGAAAACGGATACAAAATTGGTAAAAAAAACATTCCACGCGGAAATCCGAATGGAATTCTGTCTGTAATATCTAAGAAAATTTCTTCTCAAAATTCCAAACGTAATAGTTGCTGTAAATTTTTAAAATAATTTCCTACCACTTTTCGCAACGAATTTTGTACAAAATTCATGTGAATTCTTAGCGAATTCTTGAATAAAATTTTTGCAAAAATTATGAATTCGGAAGTAATTTTACACGTAGTAACTGCAGAAAATTGTTTTAAAAATAGTTTTCTGCAATTATTACTTGTGTAGTGTAATTACTACCAGATTTCTAGCGGAATTTTACAAGAAACTTTTAAAAAATTCTTTAGGAATTCGCACGAACTTTGTAAAGTATTCGTTCGGAAAAGTGATTGATAATTTGCAACTAAATGCAACGAAGGGGGGGGGGGGGTCAAAAAGCCTGAAAATCAGTGTAACGTTATTTATAGATGATCCCAAAGATCAATTTCTGATTTTATTTTGACCATAGCGTGAAACAAAGACTCAATTGTATTATAGCATTAAATTTTAAAGAACAGTTCATGACAATTGCACTACCCTGTATGGGTTCTGCAAGTAAAAATTATTATTTTTTGAAAACTCAAAAATTTTGATAAATAAAATAAATAAATAAAATAAATTTTGATAAAAAGAAACGAATTTACAGATATGTAAATAGATTATAAATAACATTAAAAGTTAACGTAAAAATAAATTTTAAAACATCATTTTAAAGATTTTAACGAGGAACAACATTGTAGAATATTATATTTTAAAATTTTTTGTAAGTTCTTTAAACTTAAATCAATAAACTTATAAATATTTGCAGAAATGTTAGAAATAAATATTTTACAGATAATTTTCTGTAAACTTAAATTCTATTTTTATGTACGAAAAATAGAATCAATGAATTTTCAAGAAAATAAAAAAAGTTTATAAGGGGACTTTTTCGAAAACACATTTTTGAAAACGGGGAGACACTTTTCTCGAAATCTACTGAACCGATTTTAAAAAATCAAAATTATTCGATTCTTTATTTAAAAGACTAGACAACAAACCTATAAAATTGACCCAAAAACACAGTATTTTTCTGATTTTTTAAGAAAAATGTATATAAAAAATTGAAAAACATTTAAAGAAATTGTTCTTGAGGTTTGTTGTCTAGAAAAAACCCTTATGAAAAGAATCCCGTTTTAATTTTTCATTTATGCAAAATAGGTTGACCGGTAATTGTTTTTGGGGTAGCTGAATACAAATATAGGGACTGAATTAAAAAATTCAAAATGGCGGATCCAAGATGGCGGATTAATTTTTAAAAATTAAATATATATTTAACTGAATTTAGCTGAATGTTGATACTCGAGAGTTTTTGGGGTCGCTATGAATACAAATTTTGCCCCAGAGACTCTCACTGACCTTCAATTTATTTTAAATCATTTTTCATCAAAGAAAAGTCTTAAAATACGGAAAATGAAAAGTTATATTTTAAGACCGAATTTTATGTTAAAATAACTAATTACAATAGATTTTTATAGCTATGTAATAATACTGTAATCTTACTGTTTATTAACAGCAATTAAGCATTTTTTAGCCATTTTTTAAAACATCTTCCGCCATTTTGAATTTTTAAAGTCTGATCTTGGATTCATATTGAACGACCCCAAAAACCCCCGAGTAACAATATTCAGCTGATTTCAACGATTTCTAAAAAATCTTCCGCCATTTTTAATTTTTTTAATTTTGACCTTGGATTCGTATTAAAAAAACCCCCCGACTATCAACATTCAGCTTAATTCAGTTGAATATATTGAATTTTGAAAAATTAATCCGCCATTTTTAATTTTGTAATCCAGACCGTAAAATATATTTATATTCAGTAAGCTTACAAACATAAAAATTAGTAGTTTTAAATAATTTTAGTCTCAAAATGTAAAAGTTTTTAAAGTTTAAATAAAAAAAAATTTTATGTTACGTCACATTCGTGCCTGCAGTGACCACCATTTTTAAAATTCCGAAAGGAGCCACTCGGTATTCGATTCTATATAAAAAATTATAAATTTTAAGTTCAATAACTTTGTGTTTGATTTAAACTATGAGTGGACAAAGCAATTTGCATTTTCATATGGAATGACCCTAATGCAAAAATTTTAATAATAAGATTAAAAATTTTTTAAGTAACAAAAAAATTTATAATTAATTAAAAATTTTTGAAAATAGTCCGTGGACATATTACCAGGTACTAGTACTTGAAAATACAAAAAGTTATATTAAATTTTACAACTTTGTAAAAATAGGGAGTGCCACTTCAAGAATTTTTACTCATTATAAATATATATACATTTAACATAAATAAGTACACACGAATGAGCACAATTAGAACCGAACAATTACAATTATAATTATACACAATTACAATACAATATGTTGCTTTTATTGAGTTGAAAAATCAAGAATAACTTTTTTATAAATAACTAGTTTTTATTATATTCATTAATAACTATTAAATTATAACATATGAAGAATATATTGTTTATTTTTTTACATTTCGTTTCACATCATTTATTTGTTTCTGTATGTTGTCATAAAAACGCTTTATAATGTCATTAGAATTAAGTCTAAATTTTAGTGAGTCTGAAGTTATTTGTCCTGCAGATTTACTGCCTTTCATTCGATAAAAAAGAACAATTGTTAGTTGGGCAATTCGTCTAAACAATTTAGATTCTGCAAGTTTGTTAACAATATATTCATTGTGAATTAGATTGCGTATAAAATGTCTCAAAACCATTGTTTTATAATTTTATTACTTTTATAGTTTTGAATAATTAAATTTTAAACATATCAAAACTGCACATGTTACGATATTTTAAAAGAAGTTCCCTCTTTAGCCTCAACTGGTTTCGTAGATTTTCTAAATTTTGAAGTTGGTCTTCTTTACTGTGTTCTATTCCTTGCAGTTTTTTAACCTGAAATTATTATAATTTTTTATTTAATTACAAAAGAAGAATTAAATGTAAATAAATTAAAGAAAAGATTTCTTAAGGATTCCATGTTACTTAAACTTAAATAAAGATAATAAATAAATGTTTTAGAATAAGTATAAATTTAATGTTTTTAAAATCTTATAAAACAAAATAATTATTGAAAAAAGTTCGTAAAAAATGATTCAGTAATAAAAAAGGCCTAAAATACCAAATATTTTGTATATTTAGTAATTAGTTTTAACTAAAAACATAGAGGGCATAATATATGTAAAGTTTTTTTTTTGAAAAACTTGCAAGTTAATAAATAAAAACCTGAAAACCTTTTTTATTACAAAATAATTAAAGAACAGTTTTAACAAAAAGTAAATAATCCTGAAAAATCTTTCCGTTTTATTATAAAACAACTAGATAGTGTAATTTTGAAATTTTTTAATTAATTTTAAATGGTTGATAAGGAAGCTTCTTTTTACCTGCCCTCTTACAGAGTCTAACTTTTTTTGTAAATCGACGATCTTGTAACTCGTATCTTGAGATTCCTTAACTTTTTGATTAGAATCGTACGGATCTTTTTCTACACTGAAAATTTAAAGTTCATATTTTATTTATTATAAGTAAACAAAATTCACGAAGACTTAATATTTTTTAAAAGTTTAAAATCTTATATATTTTGTTGAAAAATATTTTAGCATTTTTATAAAAATTAAAAGAAAATAGGTATCTAAAAATTTACTGATTTGGCTAAAAATGAAAATTAAGTTTCAGGATTAGAATAATATAATTAAATGGATTTGCTTGATTCTTATTTGAATCACTTACACTTGACCTTATATTTCTCTTAATGGGTTTAATTTTATCTGACAATTAAATGTTTGTTAAAGGTTTAAAAAAAGTTGTTTTAGCTATAAAAAATTTAATTAATATTCCAAAGATATGGACACAAATTAATCATCAAAAAGCTTAAGAGACCGGGGCTATAAACTTACTTTCTCTTGTACGATAAAAATTCTACAAAAAACCCGTGATTATTAATTAACAAAATTTGGCAAATTTCATCTACTCTATTAATACAATGTAAAAGGCTTTCATTTTATTTAGAAAAAAACTTTCTGAGATATGAGCCATTGATACGCCTTCGGAGTGGTCACAAATTTCAGTTTATCAATTTTCCTGACAATTTACTGACATTAAAATTATTTTCCCTGGCAAAATTCTTTTCACAGGAAAATATATGAAAGTTTATGGAAAATGAGTAAAATTTATGAAATTTAATAATTTCTAAAAATTACAATTATAACCCATCCTGAATTCAATTATTTTCTCTAATTTCCAACTAAACTTCATCTCTAAATTAATTATTTTAAATAAGTTTCAAAAAGTTCTACGAGAATTAACTTATTTAAATAAGAAAATTCTATTTTTTATAATAATTGTAACTGTTCATGTTTTTTTCTTAAGTTTAAGGTATAATACCTATTTTCAAAAAATAAAAATAATCAACTTTTTGAATAATATTAATTATAAATATGACCGCATGATTTCTCCGAAATTTTAATAAGTCCAAAAAAGTAAATTTTTATTTGCTTTATTCGAAGATACCTTATTAATTAAATCTTAAAAAATTATGATAAAAAAATTCTAAGAATTAAGTAGTTTTTATAAATATTTTAATGTAATTTTCCGAAAACAATTGAATTTCAAAAGAGTTTCTGTAATATTTAAAAAAAAACTAAATTAATTTCTTCATTTATTTTAATTAAATATTTTGAACATGATTTTTTTCCCCAAAATGTTAAAAATTATTTTAAAATGATATTATTTTTATGTACGTTATTTGAATACGGTAATATGTAATTAAAACTACTGAAAATACTACATTTTAAAAAATTAGAAGCTAATTTTAATTAATTTTCATTTTTAAATTTACATTTAACGATTTTTCATTAAAATTTTTGATAATTCAATTATTTTGAAAATTTACAATTAAAATTCTTCAAAAGTTTATTTTCAAAAATTCTAACAAAATACTTAAAAAAAATTAATTATTTTCAATTAAATTTTACAAAATTTCAATTATTCAACATCTTTTTAATTGTATATTTCGAAAATTTAAATAGAAAAATTATTCAAAAATAATTTTTGAAAGATTTGTTTATAGTTATTTTTCGCACTATAAAAATCGAATTTAGTTACATTTTTTAATACTAAAAAATATATTTTTTTGCAATATTTGGAAGAAAAATCGAGAAAGTCACAACTTTTAAAAATAAGTCGAAAAAAATCTCAATTTTCTAAATGAAAAGCAAACAAGAAATACTTTAAAATTGACTAAATATCAATTTGAATATCATTAACATCGAAGTTAAATGAATCAGATGACGTTGAATTGTTCATTTTAGAAACATTGTAGAAATTGAGGTTATGTACATCTACCCAACACTTCTATATTCGTAGGTAGTACAAAAAGATAATTAATACTTATTTCAATTTAATATTTACTTACATCAAAAATTAATACAACAAATGTACAATAATAAATGATTTCTGACTTTCTTTTTTTCAAAAAGTGCACAAACTATTCGTGCTATTTGCTGGACGAAATAATTTAGCTAGTTCTCTTGTTTCTTTCTATTATTAACCTGACTGACGAAATAATATGGTTTTTTAATTCACGAGTATTTCTCACCAATGTTTTATCGCTGACGAGCCAAATGACATCAAATTAATAATTTATAATTAAATTTTATTAATTGACTTATAAAATAGTTTTGGAAATATTATTTTACAGTGTAGTTCAAAGTTAAGGTGTAGATGCAGTAAATATTCTTTTTAAGGAAAGGATATTTATATTTATTTTTTTAATGAAAAAAATGCTATTAAACTGTTTTACTTTATCGAGAAAATAATACTGATGTTCCTTATGTAATTTAATATAATTTAAAGTTGTAAACAATAAAGTATTACAAGGCAATTAATTCTAACAAGAATTACCTGCGAATAATTTCGTATATTAACGGCAAAATTTCAACATCTAAGTCATCGACAGTAAAGTGACTTGTTCTTTGAGTGTCATCCAATATTTGCACAATGTCCATTTTATTTTTAAAACAAAGTACCAACAATTCAGTTATTCCATTTCATTGACGTGTATTCATTCATACCTGTCTATACTCTATACCATTTAAAAAAAACACAAAGAACTGAAAATGTATCTAAATAAAGGCTGAAGCACAATTAGTTTTCGAGTTCGGAAACTTAAAGCTAAGTTTACATGTTTGCTATAAAGGTCAACCCACAACTGCTACGCGAACGTCGTTTTTATAGAGTAAATTACTTTATTTATTATTAATTTATAATGATTATTTGTCTAATTTGTTATTTATTTAAATATTTAGTGATTTAAGTTTAATAAATTACTTAAAACGAAATTCTCTATGCTAGTAAATTATAGTGTCTTTTGTATTTATTTGAATTTACTAAATTACCAAAGACGTCACGTCACAACAACTACATTTACAAGCTATTGTAGAAAAACTTTTACAACTAGGTGTGAACGCGTTTTCGACATTTTTTGTGGTAAATTTTTCTCCAGCAAGAAATGCACCCTTATTTGGATGAAGGACAGAGAATCAATTCTTCGTTTTCTCTCTTGCTTTATGTCAAATCCTCAAAACTTTAATATTTTATACTCTACATTATGAAATTTTCTTATCAGATTGTTTTCATAAAAATAAACATATTTGCTTTAAAGAAAATATGATTGTTAAGAAATATTTTTAATTTTTATATAAGCACAAGATTTTTGTTTGAAAAAGTTCCTATAGTTATATTGACTATATTGTGAGTTGTTCGGCGTTATCACTTTAGTGTTTTGCTGTCAAATAACAGTGAAAATACGATTTTCTGACATTAAAATAAACAAACAATATTGAATGGTTTAATGGAAATTAAATTATAAATAATTTCTTATCACAAAATGTCTGTTAATCTTAAGAAAAATGAAGAATCTTTAATCTCAGCTTGGAAGAATGTTGTTGATGACAAATCATCAACTAACTGGTAAAACAGACTTTTAGTTATAATTATTTTATTTTATTATTATTTTCAGTTTATATTTAGAAAATCTAATTCTGTAATATGTAAGAGTATTGAATACTTTCTGTCAATTAGTTAATTGATTACAATATTGTTTAAATTTTAATTCTTTTGATTTTATTAGAGGGTTTACACTAGTATTGTAAATGCGACTTCTTCAATGTTACGAAGAATGGTTTATTTTCTTAAATGTGTTAATTCACATAGTTTCTCTGTATTCAATTTTTTTAAAAACTAAGCCTTAAACAAAAAAGTTTTTTGATTTTCAAGAAATATCAAAAAAAATTCTTGACATTGCCTTGTTTTATTAAAATTAGCATAATTTCTGAAATAATTTACATGTTTTAATGTTTTTCGACTTATTTTAAGGGTAATTTTCCGGTTTATTTAAATACCTAATATTAATTATCGTAATATGATAATTCTTTGCAAAAGTATTCAACTTTTAAAAGTTGACTAAAGAAATTTGACAGATTCGTATGATCATTTTAGAAAGTTAACCACTTTCTAAAGTTATCAAAATATTTTTTATAAATATAGAATATAAAAATCTGATAAAGTATTCATATTTCAGTTTATTTAACAATCTTTTTCTACTAAGAATTTTTTAATTCAGAGTTGCCACAGGTCAGGGATTTTAATTAAAAGTACTGGAAAAAACTAAATTTTCCAATATATTTATAGGGTTGCTACAAAAATTTAATTTTGTTTTTCTCTGACTTTTCCCTGATTTACAGACAAAATTTTCACTTTTTCCCTGATCCTATAAAGAATATTCTTATTCACTCTAAAAATGATTAGATACTGAAAGAAATGTTGTATTTCCTTAATTGTAAAATTATTCAAAAACACAAAAAACTTCATTTTTAATTAAATATTTAATCATTATTATTTTTCTACAGGAAATAAGATTCACAAAATTTCTAAATTCTGATTCTAATAATTATAAGAATATTATAAAACATGAAAATATCGATCGATTCCTTCATGTTTTATAATAATTAAAGATGACCGAGTGATAAGATCATTATTTTGTACTATAAAAATATTTTTACTGCAACTTTTTCAAAATTATTTTCATCATTTCAATTCAATTATTATTTTCTACAATTTTTAAAGAAAGTTCTTCTTTAAATCAATTAATTTTAATAATTTTTGATAAAGTTCTTTTGGAAATTTTTAAATTCATTTGTTTACAATTTAATTTTAAGTAAAATTTCAATTATTTGAAAATTCTTCAATTAACTATACATTAGAAAATAAAAACTTGAAATAATTTTAAAAAATTTTGATTCAACTTTTTGAAAAAAATTAGTTCCATAGAATTTTTAATTAGAAGTATGAAAAATTCAGATTGGCAAAGATTTTAATTTGAAACCTTTACAAAATTCAATTATTTCTAAAAATTTCAATTATTAGTAACTTCTCTAAAATTTAATTATTCTCTAAAACTTTAACTGAAATTAATTTTTAAATCAATTTTTATTTGAAAATTCTACGAGAATTCAATTATTTAATACAAAGATAGATATTGATAATATGTATGATCATAAAATATATTATCAACAGTAACAAGAGTATGGAAGGACATATTTCTAACAACTTACAAACATAGATAATAATTTATTGAATAATTTTTAAATAATTGAATTCTTTTGACGAAGTTCAATAACATTTTTAAGAATAATTACATTTTTCTAGAAATTCGATTAAACTTGTATTAAAAATTATTTAAATTCAGCAATGAGTTTTATTATTTATGTAAATAATTGAATTATTGCGAAGAATTTTATAAAAAAGTTTACAAAAATTGATTTTTTTCGACAAAATGTATGGAAATTCTATTTTTAATAATTGAATTCCTGTGAAATTTATACAATTTTTTTGAAAAATAATTCAATGTTCGTGTAGAATATTATCAAAATTTTTGTTTAATAATTGAATTCTTTTAGGAAATTTTATTAAAATAGAATTCAATTAGAATTTTCTTTATTTTGTTCTGGGAAAACCATGAGAACAATTTTTAAAGTACAATAGAATGCGTAATATACATCAATCATATAACAAAAATTCATAAGATAATCTTAATCAAAAGTTGCATAACAATGATGGAGATAAATATATTAAAACTCTTAAAGAATCTACAAAAAAGATAAAACAATATTAAAACATACAACATACAACCGAAAAATAGTAGAATATTAAAAATCATTGAATTAAGAAAAATTTTTGAAAATAATTGAAATTTTGCAATGAATTTTATTAAAATTCCTTAAAATAATTGTATTTTGTCGAAGAATTTTGCTATTCATTTATAAAGATAATTGTAATGTTGACGAGAATTTTTTAAACAATTCTTGAAAATAATTGAATTTCTGGAAAGAATTTTAATATTTATGATAGTTGAATTCTTCCAAAGAATTGCGTTAAAATTTTTCAAAAAAAATAATGCATTAAATGATTTATAAGTAAATAACTTTATGGTAGATCTTCAATAGAATTAAGTTATTTAAAATAAATTATTGTCAGAAGTAGAAAAAATTGAAGGTTTTTTTTAGAATTCGTAGTAATTTCATAATTTATGAGGTAAACAAAAAGACACAAAAATTTAGAATTTTTATATAAATTCTAAACGTTTAATTTTTTTCAGTACTTTTAATAAAATCCCTGACTTTTCTCTGAATTCTCTGATTTCCCTGACCTGGGGCAACCCTGATAAATTATTTTACTTAAACAACTGTTACGTATTCAAAAACCGTTTAAGTTTTTTATAAATAATATATACTCTGATTATATAAGATATATTTTTAAATTAAGCTCAAGAACATTAAAATAATTCAATTATTTTTAGAATTATATTAATTTTAACAGAAGTATAAAACAAATAAGCCTATTTTCAAAACTGCGTGAGAATGTGTGGAGAATCATTTTTTTTAAATAAGCCATATTACAAGAAAATATGAATAAACAAATAAATTTTATAGATTTAAAATTCTTTGTCTTGAAAAATATATTCGTTCTACTATTAATAATAAATTTTTAATTTAATTCAAATGTTAATTAATTCTTTTTTTCAAAGTTTGCATTTCTTTTAACAAACGTCCTTAAATTAATGCAAATTTTTACATAATGAAAATTGTAGGCAATTAAAGAAAGTTTCAGGTCACAGAATTTTTTTGAAACTGTAAAATATGTTTTTTGAAACATATTTTACTTAAAAAGTCCCAAAACCGCTGTGTTTTTGGGTCAATTTACCCCCGTATAAAAAAATAGATGGTATAAATGTGAAATTTTAAAGGTTTATTACCTGAATAAAGCTTGATACTTCTATAAACAAAAACAATTGCAAAAGATAGGTTTTTTCTCTGGAAACAATAATAATTAAATTTTAAAAGATAGGTTAACGTTGAACGAATTTACTCTACAAGAGTGAAGTTAGCCCGTCCTACGGTATATGTGTATAATAATAAACATATATAATATTTATTAAATAGTAATTTTGAGGTTTGTGTATCTAAAGCTTGTCTACTAAAATACTATTATTGACGTTATTTTTACAGGGCTTTATTTAGTTATGAAGGTCAAACAAATAATCTAAAAGTTGTTTCGACCGGTCAAGGAGGATTGGAAGAAATGACAGAAGAATTTAACAGTGGTCTTATAATGTACGCTTTTTGTCGTGTGATTGACAATAAGACGAGTTTGCCAAAATGTTTGCTTATTAATTGGGTAAGTTTAGTTTGTTTCTCGTCTTTTAGCTACTCAAATGCAACGCGTCTGAAAAAAATATATCTGAGAAGCATATCATTTTAAAATTATATTTGTGCTATTATTGATTGAAAGTGCAAAGAAATGTACAATAGATAGAAAATAATTAATAATTATTACAAAAGTTATAATACTTTTTCAAAAAACTTGAAAAATGCAAAATTGTAGTATATTTTTATTGTCAGTATCACTTCTAAACTTTCTGTACCTAGCTTTTTTAGGTGCTATAATTTAAAAATATAAAAATACACTATAAGTTACTAAAGCTGATCAGACAGTAGCGTCCGAATTGAATGCATTGTATAACTCTTTTCCGTATTATAATATTTTCTGCAATTATATTTTTTGTGCATTCCAGCAAGGAGATGGAGCACCAATTGTTAGAAAAGGGACATGCGCAAATCACATACGAGACATAGAACGCTTATTAAAAGGGGTACACATTACAATAACTGCACGATCAGAAGAGGAAGTCGAAGTAGACATAATAATGGATAAACTTGCTCGTGCCACGGGATCTGCTTATAAATTCAATGAGCGCCGAGGTGAAAATGGAAACAAGACAGATCCTGTTGGTACTACTTATCGGAGGTGAGTGAATCAAATCATACATGCTACTATTTTTCTATCACGAGTAAAAAATTGTCATATAATATTTTTATTTTATTTCACGACGAAAACTAGTGATACTGTAAATGTAATTAATGCGATAAAAGTCCCAATTATGAGACAATGTGCCTATTGACCATGACGGATTTGACTGGGGTAGAGGTACCACTTATCGGACAGTTATAGTATTAAGTCGTTGAATGCAAATAAATTTTTGCAAAATTATAAATATATGGATAGAAATATACATTAAGATTTTAGGAACAGATTATAGAAATTTTGTTTGGATTCTTTTATAATTTAAACAATTTACAAAAATGTTAAAAACCGCCTTGAGAAATCTCTTCAAAATTTAGTACTGAGTAAAAATTCTAAAATCCATTTCGTGCCTCTGGTACATATATATGTACCACTTACAAAATTTAATAAAACTCTTATAATTTTAAACTAGCAAGCATTTAATATAGCTTTTTTAATCACCAACGTAACTACTATAATGTAAAAAAATATGAAATTACATAGTACTATTATAATTATTATAAAAATAGGTAGAGTACCTATTGTTAAAAATATCAAAATTTAATTTTTCAACATTTTCTCCAATTCGCTTAAAACTTTTTACCCAGAGGGTTTCGGGGTCGCTGATTACGAATCTAAAGTCAGATTTTCAAAATTTTCAAAATTCAAGTTGGTGGACACTTTTTTCAAAATTGCTCATACACGCTTGAAACTTGTTACTCGGGAGTTTTTCAAGGTTGCTATTTTGAATTTCGAAAATCTGACTTCAGATTCGTAATTAGTGACCCTGAAACCCTCCCAACTAACAAATTTTATGCAAGTTTGAGCAATGTTGTAAAAAAATGTCTGCCATATTGGATCCGCCATTTTGAATTTTCAAAATTTTGAAGCATTAGGGGCTGTCCATAAATTATGTAAGATATTTTTTTGGAAAATTTTGAAACTTTATGACTAAATCTCAAAATGAGTGCAAGCGGGATCGTTTTTGTATTCATTCATGGATATGGAGACTCCTTACGTTAAATTAAGTAGACACTGTTACATCAAAATTGGAGGCGCATGCTTATTCCCGAAATCTTTTTTGACCACATAGGCATTTGATATAAAACTACTTAACTTAAAATTCACATAATATGAACATTATTTGACATAAATTTCATTGCACACAAAAACCATTTAACATAAATATCATTTGTCATAGAATTCATTAAACAGAAAAATTATGTTACATAAAACTCAAATAACTTAATTCCCATGTGACATAAAAATTATGTAACATAAATTTCTTTTGACATAAAATTTATTTAACGTAAATTTTATTTGTTATAAAATTCATTTGACATCATTTTCATTTGGCATAAATGTCATTTAACGTAATTCTCATTTGACATAAATATCATTAGACATAAAATTAGCTTGACATAATTTTCATTTGACGTGAATATCATTTAACATAATTATTATTTAACGTAAAATTAAATTTATATAAATTTCATTTGATATAAATCCCATTTAACATAATTTTCATTTGACATAAAGTTCACTTGATATAAATTTCATTTAACGGATAACTCTACACATAATTCTCATTTGACATAAAATTCAGTTGTCATAGATTTTATTTTACATAAAGATCATTTGACATAGACATATAGGCGCGAATTTCAAAATTGGCGAATCACAATGTTGTTGATAATATCTAATTGGTTACTTTTCAAATTCGCGCCGATATTGTTATGTAAAATGTAATTTGTGTGAAATGATTTTTATGTCAAATGAGAATTTTGTTGAATGACTTTTATGACAAATGAAAATTGTGTTAAATGTCTTTTATGTCAAATGAACCTTATGTCCAATGAAAATTATGTCAAATGAATTTTATAACAAATAAAATTTACGTTAAATGAATGTTATGTCAAAAGAAATTTATGTTAAATGATTTTGATGTCAATAGAAATTTATGTTACATAATTTTTATGTCAAATGAGATTAAGTTATCTGAGTTTTAAGTAACATAATATTTCTGTTTAATGAATTCTATGACAAATGATATTTATGTTAAATGGTTTTTGTGTACAATGAAATTTATGTCAAGTAATGTGCATATTATGTGAATTTTAAGTTAAGTAGTTTTATATCAAAAAAGATTTCGGGAATAAGCATGCGTCTCCAAAATTGCACGAGGGAAAAAATTAAAATATGTTTTCTTTGCTTGTCAATTTTACTGTAAACCAGTTAATTTAATCAAGATATGAAATGAAAAGTTGGATATTTTTTTTACATTCTATATGAAAATAATTAACTTTAATATATCGAAAAAACCACCATCTTTTGTTTAAAAGCAATATTAATGTTAAATAAAATTTAGAGTAATTCCAGAACAAGAGATCAATGCAACCGAACGAGATAAATTTTGGCAGAAGGAAGAAATTGAGGAAAAGCAACGTTTGGAACAAGAACGTGTTAAAAGTGAACAAAGTCGACAAAAAATAGAGAAAGAAATTAGAATGCGCGAAGAAAAGGAAAATCAGATTCGCGAGGAAAAGGTATTTATATTGCAAATTATACTTATTAAAGTTAAAAAAATTTTATTGAAATAAAAGTATTGCTTTTCATGAAAGTATTATTTTTCCAAGATTTCCAACTTTAATTTTTTTACATTTTTTAATCTTAGAAATTAAAAATCACATTTTTAAGTAATTGAAATAAAAGATTGGTGATTGTTTTGTGATTAATTAATTAGATTAAATTGAGTAAATGATTGAACACTTGTCATGGTAAGTTAATAAATTACGAATAATTATTTTTAACCATTCCACCTACAAACGACGATTTCAAGAAGTGCACTTTTTAAATGAATTTTATTCTATGAAAAAATTATTATTAATAAGTTATACATTAAATTGAAAGAGAATTAAATGAACTTTCTATTTATTTTTTTTTATTTTTCAAAATTTCTCTTAATTTTGTAGAGTAATTCCTGTTTAAAATATGAAACTCTTAAAATATCATATCCGCCCCGTCAATTTTATTAAAACTTATATGAAAAGAAAACTTTCCTTTTCTAGTTTTCAATCCCTCTGTTTTATTATTGACATTTTAGAGGAATTGAACATAAAAATGAAAATAAAATGTGTTTTTAAAAAGTTTGACATAAAGTATGAAGTGAAGTTCTACGACATATTTCATATTCACTTTTTTTCCTAATGTGTAAAATTTAAGAAAAACAATTAATTTTTTATTTTTATGAGTAATTCTACTAAAATGTCCATAATAAAACAAAATGTACTGTGAACTAGAAGAAGTACTAAGCTTTCTTTTTATACAAGTTTAAATAAAATCGAAGGGGTGTGTTTTGAGATATTAAGAGTTTTACATTTCAAACAGGAATTTTTCTAGGAAATTAAGAAAACGTTATAAAACTCATTTAAAAAGTGAATCGTTGAAAGTGAATGAAACTGAAAAAGCGATCATCTTTTGTTGATGGAACGGTTTGAAATAGAATGCCTCATATATTATAAAGGCAAAATTTCCAAAACTTCTTAAATCATCATTAAACCTCACTTATGAGTGCAGTTTTCTCATAGCTTTTTGGACATTGCAAATCGTAATTTTTAATACTTTTCTGCGTTCCACTTTGGGTTGTTTATTATAGTTTCATAGTTTATTAATCAACAGACTAGACTAGAAACCTAAAGGCTTCTCCGTGTTTGGGCTATATAGGATTTGAGGGATTGTGTATTATTGCTATTGGGAATGTTATTTTTGTGTATTGTATGAGATAGTAGGGGAGTTTGGGAGCATTAATATGTTAGATTATTTTGTTGAGTCTAAAGTGTTTATTACTAAAGTTGACTACCCTGGTAGTTTTGGTATAAGCATTTTAATAATAAACATTAATTTTTTATATGAAAATACACATCGAAATCTGTAACACTTAGAATTACAAAGTTGTTGACTTGCACGAATCTCAACGCAAGCAATCAGAGGTAATAAGATTACTTTTTTGTATTCGATATTAATCTACAGTTGAAATGTTTGATAAAGGAATTGTAAAGTACTTCTTCTTCTTTATGCAAAAAACTGTTGCTTGAACTGTTAAGTTACGAAAGGACACAAAGCGCATTGTTTCAGAAGGAAGTACTCTTCTTCTGTGCTCTATTTCATAAAGATTGTCCATGATTTGAAACTGTTTACCAATAAGTCCAGAAACTGTTCTTTCTCCATATCAATATGACAAAAAAGTCATAATCAAAAAAAGATCTTTGCCATCATAAGCTATACTGTCACAGAACTTTTGTTTGACATTGACATGCTTTCTATATTCTACTCTGTGAATTTTTGCTTGTTTGTGAACGTGCATAATTGTATTTTCATTAATTAACTCTTCTGATTTTCGTACAAGGCAGAGTATTTGTAGAATAGGTTCATCCTTGATCTTTAGCCATTTTTTAACTGTATTCTTTCTTTTTTCATCAATGTCATCCGTAAATTGCACCTTTAACAAATTTCCTCAAAAAATATCGATCGACAATTTAATCTGCTCAACAATGAGGACTTTTTACATAATTTTTTATTTTTGCACCGAAGCTCTCAAATGGGAACGTTGAATATGCCCATGATAGTCCCCAATATTTTACTGAATCTGGATCATGTTCCGCTGTATGTACATTATATGTCATATTTGCGTTTCCATAAATATCTGAAGTAGCCACAAACTGTCCTAAGAAAGTTTGTGCAAGATTTATGTAACGTTCAGATATTGATGTATTATTTAAAATGAATACAGATTCACTCACTAATCTTAGATTAGTAAAGTAAGGTTCTTTTAAAATGTCTTCAAGTCATGGAAGAGCAAAATAAAATAGCCAGTTACGTCATTCGTTAACTAACTTTCCATTTATGAAAAGTACTTTTACTTTGAGATTACACAGAAAAACTTTTTGTTTCAAAAATTAATAGAATCCATTTCAAACTTTAATATGATGCATTTGAAACAGGGGAAAACGATGTTTTCATGTTATTTAATCGTACGAACGTATCAGCTTTTAACAAAGTAATACAAAAAATTAGTATAGTCCGTGCCAATCTTTAGTATAAACCATATTAATAGTTGATACGTTAATACGATTAAATAACAAAAAAACATCGTTTTCCCCTGTTTGACATGATCATTTTAAATTTTGATACACAAAGTCTTTCCGTGTATCTACAAATTCGTGAAGGTTATTTTATTTCTTTGAGTTTCTTGTTAATTTTTAAAAAAAATTTCTTTTTTCCAATATACCAAATTTTTCCAGTATCTTCTAACATGTGTGCAGTGATCTGCTTAGCACATCCCAGAAAATATCCGTGAACATCATCGTGTATAGAACCTTCTAAGAAATCAAAATTCTCACACCCAAGAATTGTTCTTTATTCTGATATACAACTTTTTTCATTATGCTAGCGCAAGATAGTTTTTTCATTGGGAAAAATAAGTTTATTATTCTCTCACACTCCTTTATTATAGAATTTCGGACAACCGTAATACGAATTGTGCGGACACATTCGTAAACCTTTTGCCTTTGCTATCGCGTCTGCAGTAAATATTAATGTTGTAAATTTACTCTTAACTTCGGGCCCATCTGGTCTTTCTAGATGCCATTTTACGCCTTATTCCTCCAAGTGTTAATATAACATTCTTCGTCCCATTGAAGTTGAGATATCAAAGCTGTTACTAAGAGCTTTTTATTGATGTCATTTTGTAGGTTAATATTCATTCTGAAATTTTTATCAAATCCTTAAAAAAGTGGACGTTCAACTTCATTATCAGAATCATTTTCGGAATCATTAGATGATTCTTCTGAAACCTCCATTTGTTCATTAACATCAATTCCTTTACGATCTTCTGTCTGCGCAGGCAGGCAGTCTGCAGAGGTCTGAATCAGGAAGGAAGAGTAAGGAGACCGAACTCTGTGTAGAAAGCGCTTTAAAAATCTCAGAGAAATATGCACGAAAAGTGCCAGGCTCACTGCGTTCTAGTCGACCTCCAATTAAGTTGATCATGCGCATAAACTGTGTTGTGTCTCTGTTTCTCGTAAAAATTGTGAGAGTGAGATGTAAGATCTAATGTTTACATTTAGCCGGTCTTAGTGAGATACATACATATACAATACATTTCGTTTTAATAATTATTTATTTATTTTATTTAAAAAATGTCGTGTTGTGTGCCAGGATGTAAAAAAAGAAGAAGAGTCTAAAAACATTAGTCTCTTCTATCCTTCTACGGTATGTAAATATATTCTAGTTATAAACACAATTCTTCTTAACCATTTTCGCAAAATTTTTCCCTTTTCATAAATATATTATTAAATTATTTTGAAAATCTAAATAATATCACAATTGTAAATAAATAAATTTGCTTTTAAAATTAACACTGTTTAAACTATGTAATATTTACCTTGACATAACCACACTTTTCATCTATGTCAACACTGAACTTTAGTTCAATGCGCATGATCGACTTAATTGGTGATCAACTAGAACACAGTGAGTCTGGCACTTTTCGTGCATATTTCTCAGACATTTGTAGAAGCAGAGTTCGGTCTCCTTACTCTTCCTTCCTGGTCTGAATACTCCTTCACTCTCCTAGATAGCAGTGCCTCTAATGGGAAAAAAGGAAACTAAATATCGTCTGTTACTGTCAGATGCGCGATGTGTTTATAGAAATTAAATATATTTAAAGTTGAAAAGTTTTTCAGTGTTTACATAAATTATTTATGTATTTTCATACATCGTAACAAATAATTATAGTGTTTGGGTATTTAAAAATAAGAAGGAACACAAAATTAAGCAAATTTAGACAATTTTATTTTTTCTTTAATTTTTTGTTTTTCTTTGTTGTCATTGATGCGAGCAATGATGTTATGTAGTTTAAAAAGAAGAAGCATGCGTATAAAAAGTTAGGATACGTTTTGTTAACGTATCCTTATGTTTATCGCACCCAACGAATGGTAAAGGAGAAACGTTATTTAATTTCTCAGTCACTTGGAAAAGTGTGTCAGGTTGAATACCATTTTCTGCCACGAGTTTTATCAAAACATTTTCCAGTAGAGAAATTAAATCGTACAACTTTGTTGACGGATGTTTTAAAAACCCTTTTGTTTTTAATAAAATGTGCTTATGGCGCTCAGGTATTTTTTCATCTGCTTTTAAAGTTAAGCTGGAAAAGCAATCATGACCGTTAAGTCTCCTTATACTACTCCATAGCTTTTACATCGCCTTCTAAATGCATATTTACATCTGCAAGTTCATTATTTTCTTCTTCCTCTTATCGCATGCCATCATTCTCAGTGTGGTTTTCATCCTTAAAGGATGCATATATAAAACCATCAAGGATCTCTTCTTCAGAAGAGACATCCATTTTCAAAAGCAATGGATGATCTTTCTTTCCACCTGCTTTTGAAATACTTGTAAAATTTTTAAAAAATATGGTAATTATGCAGTTACGCGGCTCCTGTCATATTTCTAAAAATATAACTAGAAAGTATAGAGGGTTTTTTTT